GCTCATAGTGATGAGCCAGGACACTGATCGGCCAGCTGTGGGGGGAAGTACTGGAGGTCCTTTCAGGTTCCTCTAGCATGACAGGTGGTAAGGGATGATGTGGGACATGTGGCCTGGTGTTCCCTATGGCCAGCCCGGGCCTAGTGTCACTCCTTTGGTGATTGTCACCTGGGTGCGGTCTGCAATCCTTGCACCCCAATAGCGACGCCACTGGTATTATCAACTTACCTCGAAATCAGGTTATCACTCTTACAGTGAAAACACTGTAGCCCCTGGTCCATGGAGCTCCTTTCTAATTCTGCAGCTGCCCACACACAGAATTCAACTCCCTTACCCCAGTCACAGTAAGCAAGAGGAAGATAGGGAGAGGAGGATCTGGTTGCAGGAAGCTTTGTTAGATCTGTATTTGCAGCCACATTGAGCCAGAGGAGAGCCTTGTCCACCACCAGGGACAGCAGAGGAAAAGAAGCTGCTGGGAACCACCTGCAACTATGGATGATGTAGTCCCCGGGAGACAGTTCTCTAGCAAACTAAGGACTGGATGAGACTACAAGTCCCAGAACAACAGAGAGCTGTAGGGGGGGAAGCCGGGTCTTTGGGCAGTCTCATGTGGGATGTGAGCGCTGACCAGAGACTGGGCTGCTGAACTGAAGCACTGCCTGCTATAAGTATCAGAGAGAGACTGGGCTGCTACATCTGCACGGGGGGGACATAACTGTTGAAGGGATCCAGCGAGTAAGAGGAAAGGGGCATCACTGGTTCTGTAGGAGATCATTAATAGATGGTTTGTGTCACCACCAATGCCACTGGTTCCTGATGCCAGAGAGGAGGAGGCTCAGTTACAGACTGCAAAGTGGTGAGAGGTCGTGAGCCATAACTTCATTATCCAGTTTATAGATTTCATGGTAGTGAGAGGCCATTGGCCATAACTTCCTTATCCACTTCTTAGAGGGATAGTGTCACCTAGTTTTGAGATACAATTTGGGTATTTACACACTGTGATCATGGGATTGCTTCAATGCAGGAACTTTGGGCCCCAACCATTAATAGTACACTAGCCAGTTGGAGGGGTTTTGAGAGACTTTTAAGGACCTTTTATCTGCCAGCGCAACCCCTTTAGTTAGGACAAAGACACTTTAACCTCCCTGGCGGTATGATTATTTCAGATTTTTGGTGCTGAAAGCGGTACCATTTTTTTGCATGGAAATATGTATTTTTTTTATTGTAGGCTGTAATTTTTAGGAAAAACTCACTGAAATCTGTCCGAACAAGAGTCTAGTAAACATCCCGGGTATGATAAAATTTGAAACACAAAATCATAAATTATAATTTAATAAATAATCATAAAAATAATATAAAAATAATAAAAAATTTAATTCAATAATATAATCAAACCAAAAACACTGAAATGTGAAATAGAGCGCCAAGTTCGCATATTGCTGAGCTCAGTCACAAAATCGTTTTCAGTGTCTGATGACGAATTTCCCCCACAAATCATTATCACTCAATTCTGCAAGTGGTTCTGATTTACTATCGCTGTTCTCTAGCTGGTCTAAACCGCTTTTGACCTAAAGGGACACTTTTTGGATGCCATGGACGTTTCTCAGTTTCCAGGCAGAAAGAACAGACAAAATGCAGGCAGGGCGCAGGACAAAGCACTAGGGACAATATGTATGTGAAATTGGTTGAGATTATTTCAGATTTTTGGTGCTGAAAGCGGTACCATTTTTTTGCATGGAAATATGTATTTTTTTTATTGTAGGCTGTAATTTTTAGGAAAAACTCACTGAAATCTGTCCGAACAAGAGTCTAGTAAACATCCCGGGTATGATAAAATTTGAAAACACAAAATCATAAATTATAATTTAATAAATAATCATAAAAATAATATAAAAATAATAAAAAATTTAATTCAATAATATAATCAAACCAAAAACACTGAAATGTGAAATAGAGCGCCAAGTTCGCACATTGCTGAGCTCAGTCGCAAAATCGTTTTCAGTGTCTGATGACGAATTTCCCCCACAAATCATTATAACTCAATTCTGCAAGTGGTTCTGATTTACTATCGCTATGTAAAATGTAAAAAAATGTAAAAAAAAAAAAAATGACATTTTTTAAAATTTTTAAATTTCCCGCTGCCAGCGCCAGCGGCGGCGCCCGTACGTCCCGACGTCACAGGGACAGGACACAGAAGCCGGATGCCGGCATCGGCCGGAGGAGATGGCCGGGGACGCTGCAGGGGACACATCGTGGGAGCGCAGGGTAAGGTAAGTGAAGAACACATGCCGGAGCAGTGCCGCAGGGTAAGCCCGAGTGTAGCTCGGGGTTTTTACCGCTTTTGGTACTGAAATGTTACCCCGAGCTACACTCGGGAATACCGCCAGGGAGGTTAAGAGGTCCTCTCATTGTTTGCACAAAATTGTTATCTGCCTCTTAAAGGTAATCACTCTGTTTCTTCACATCTTAATGTGTTACTAAACCCACAACAGTAAAATCAGACTGTATATGTAATAAAGCATGCTTGTTATACTCAGTGTGGATTCATCTTTTGCATTGTGTAAAAAGGCTGTTTGATCCTGTCTTTTCTGATCCTCCCCTTCTTCTACTGTCCCCAATCCAGCTTCTGATAGTACAGAGCTCTAGGAGTCCCTCTGCACATGCTCTGTTTGGTGTGTATTGCTAGAGATTTTTTTTTTCTTTGGGAGGGTGCATGCGATCAGCACAGGGCCAATCAGCACTGTCCAGACAGAGGGTCATGGGTTTTGCTGCCTCATATGACACTCCAAAAAAACTCTACAAGCTTTAACCAGTGTTCAGCTGGACACTGATAGAAATCACAAGACTGCTATATACTGCTGATGAGAAAAGGTGTTTAGCAGTTTAGATTTACTACAATAATTGCATTTCCATATTGTGTGTACTGTGGGAGACCAGCTATAGTGAATGCAGGGTCATGGGTTTAGAAACACTTTAAGGAGACTGCACCTTTTGCTGCGCACCAACGTAAGGGCCCTACTGAGCCGGCAGAAAAAAAAAATCAACCTTCCAGATTGTTTGTGCTTAGGGACTACATCTTCCTTAGAAGTACTGGTGTGCAGGGGATTTGACACATTTCCTAGAGATTAAGCCTAGACTTTCCTGATTGAGAGCTTATAAGTGAGCTAGCCTGAGTCTCTTGCTACTCCTACCTGTCACACTTGGGGAGTAATCTCTCATTTGCAGGGTTAAGGTTTATCTTCTCAGTCCTAAAGGACAAGTGGCCATGCTAATAAGTATATTTGTACTGTTTTGATGGGTTTCTGTGCTGAATCACCTTGTTTCATTGTGAATAGAGATGAGCGAATTATTCAAAAATTCGATTCGACTGATTCGGCGAATTCGTGAAAAAATTTCGATTCGAGTCGAATATATTCGCTGCGAATTTAACTTATAAAAGGGTGTTTCTAGGCTTCAGAGAGCATTTATATTAGTGCAGAACACTGTACTTTTAATTTAAATGCCCTTGGAGTCTGCTGGGGAAGAGAATAATACTGACAGTCAGTATGACATGCAGATGAGTGCCGTCGATCTTAGAATCACCGCACACTTCACTCATTTTGGGCAGTCACGGGCCAAAACCAGAGTGTGGAGCCACAGTGTGGCGGTGGAGGCAGCAGCAATGGGAGGCCATACAGCACCCTATGACAAAAATGGAAACCACCAGCAGTGTGAGGAGACCTGAAAGTGGCACATGGCAGAGTATGGCGATGGAGACAGCAGCAATGGGAGGCCGTACAGGGACCCATGACACACTCTGGACCTGGCAGCAGCATGAGGAGGCGGTACAGGGGCCCATGACAGATTACGGGCCTGGCAGCAGCATGAGGAGTTGGTATGGGGGCCCATGGCAGATTACAGGCCTGGCAGCAGCAATGGGAGGCCATACAGGGACCCATGACACACTCTGGACCTGGCAGCAGCATGAGGAGGCGGTACAGGGCCCTTGACAGATTACGGGCCTGGCAGCAGCATGAGGAGTCGGTACGGGGGCCCATGACACACTCTGGACCTGGCAGCAGCATGAGGAGGCAGTACAGGGGCGCATGACAGATTATGAGCCTGGCAGCAGCAACTTGGACAGGAGGACGTTCAGCTTCTGCACCGTCGGGTGCATGCTCGCAAACTGTTGTCTCTTGGAAACGGATTCCAAGAAAGACTGCTGACGGAATCCGTGAAGAGGAGTAGCAGGAGAAGGAGCATCTGAACGAGCGGAATATGCCAACAAGCGACAACAGGGGCCCATGACAGATTACGGGCCTGGCAGCAGCATGAGGAGTCGGTACGGGGGCCCATGGCAGATTAATCTGCCAGCACCCTATGACAAAAAATGGAACACACCAGCAGTGTGTGAGGAGACCTGAAAGTGGCACATGGCAGAGTGTGGCGATGGAGACAGCAGCAATGGGAGGCCGTACAGGGACCCATGAGAGACTCTGGACCTGGCAGCAGCATGAGGAGGCGGTACAGGGGCCCATGGCAGATTAGGGGCCTGGCAGCAGCTATGGGAGGCCCGTAATCTGCCAGCACCCTATGACAAAAAATGGAACACACCAGCAGTGTGAGGAGACCTGAAAGTGGCACATGGCAGCAGAGTGTGGCGATGGAGACAGCAGCAATGGGAGGCCGTACAGGGACCCATGAGAGACTGTGGACCTGGCAGCAGCATGAGGAGGCGGTACTGGGGCCCATGGCAGATTAGGGGCCTGGCAGCAGCAATGGGAGGCCCGTAATCTGCCAGCACCCTATGACAAAAAATGGAACACACCAGCAGTGTGAGGAGACCTGAAAGTGGCACATGGCAGAGTGTGGCGATGGAGACAGCAGCAATGGGAGGCCGTACAGGGACCCATGAGAGACTGTGGACCTGGCAGCAGCATGAGGAGGCGGTACTGGGGCCCATGGCAGATTACGGGCCTGGCAGCAGCAATGGGAGGCCCGTAATCTGCCAGCACCCTATGACAAAAAATGTAACACACCAGCAGTGTGAGGAGACCTGAAAGTGGCACATGGCAGAGTGTGGCGATGGAGACAGCAGCAATGGGAGGCGGTTCAGGGACCCATGAGACACTGTGGACCTGGCAGCAGCATGAGGAGGCGGTACAGGGGCCCATGGCAGATTAAGGCCTGGCAGCAGCAATGGGAGGCCCGTAATCTGCTAGCACCCTATGACAAAATGGAACCCTGGGCTGGGGCAGGCAGAACCGCCGTATCTTTATCACGGTTTTCCAAGGCCACCGAATGGCGACGCTGCATATGCTGACGCAACGCTGTAGTCCCAACATGGGCCCCCTGGCCACGCTTGACTTTCTGGCCACATAGTCGACATACGGCTACGTTTACTTCCTCGGGCGGCTTGACGAAAAATTGCCACACCGCCGAGTAGGAAACTTTGCCCCCGCTACTCCTCACTGGCTGACTGCTACTTCCTCCGTGCACACCGTCACCACTACTGGCCGTGGTGGTAGGCTGCAGTGGAGCTGGTGCTCTACTCCGTGGCCGTTTGCATCCACTGACACTGCTGCGACTCTGCTGCCTCCTGGCAGCAGCAATGGGAGGCCGTACAGGGACCCATGACACACTCTGGACCTGGCAGCAGCATGAAGAGGCGGTACAGGGGCCCATGGCAGATTAGGGGCCTGGAAGCAGCAATGGGAGGCCCGTAATCTGCCAACACCCTATGACAAAAAATGGAACACACCAGCAGTGTGAGGAGACCTGAAAGTGGCACATGGCATGAGACACTGTGGACCTGGCAGCAGCATGAGGAGGCGGTACAGGGGCCCATGGCAGATTAGGGGCCTGGCAGCAGCTATGGGAGGCCCGTAATCTGCCAGCACCCTATGACAAAAAATGGAACACACAGGCAGTGTGAGGAGACCTGAAAGTGGCACATGGCATGAGACACTGTGGACCTGGCAGCAGCATGAGGAGGCGGTACAGGGGCCCATGGCAGATTAGTGGCCTGGCAGCAGCTATGGGAGGCCCGTAATCTGCCAGCACCCTATGACAAAAAATGGAACACACCAGCAGTGTGTGAGGAGACCTGAAAGTGGCACATGGCAGAGTGTCACGATGGAGACAGCAGCAATGGGAGGCCGTACAGGGACCCATGAGACACTGTGGACCTGGCAGCAGCATGAGGAGGCGGTACAGGGGCCCATGGCAGATTACGGGCCTGGCAGCAGCAATGGGAGGCCCATAATCTGCCAGCACCCTATGACAAAAAATGGAACACAACAGCAGTGTGAGGAGACCTGAAAGTGGCACATGACATGAGACACTGTGGACCTGCCAGCAGCATGAGGAGGCGGTACAGGGGCCCATGGCAGATTAGGGGCCTGGCAGCAGCTATGGGAGGCCCGTAATCTGCCAGCACCCTATGACAAAAAATGGAACATACCAGCAGTGTGAGGAGACCTGAAAGTGGCACATGGCATGAGACACTGTGGACCTGGCAGCAGCATAAGGAGGCGGTACAGGGGGCCCATGGC